AAAAAAAAAAGAAAAAAGAAGTTAAAAATAAAAAGTAAATCCTTAGAGGCCTGATTTCTGGTCTCTCTCACCATTCATCTGCTACCTTATTTCTTTACCCCCTATTTTTCTATCTAGGTGTTACTGGTAGACCTTCTGAAGACTGGACCAACGTTCCACACTGCAGAATGGTTCAGCTCACAGCCACTCCTCTGAGTGCACTTGTTGATGAGCCTGTGCATATCCGAGTTACAGGCTTGAGCCCTTTCCAGGTGGTGTGTCTCCAGGCATCAGTGAAAGATGAAAAGGATTTGATGTACTTTTCTGAGGCCTGTTATAAGGCCAATGAAGCTGGTGAGGTAGACTTGAAGCGAGATGCTTCCCTTGGAGGTGACTATGTGGGAGTCCATCCCATGGGGCTCTTCTGGTCCTTGAAGCCTGAAAAGATGTTATCAAGACTTATTAAAAAAGAGGTGATGACTAGACCACTCCAGGTCCAATTAAAACTCTGTGAGCCATATTTTCCAGTAAAATATGTATCTCCCAGTGCTCCATTGGCCAGCCTGACTTTGGAAAGGTGGTATGTGGCACCTGGTGTCCAAAGGATTCAGGTGAGGGAAGGCCGCCTCCGGGGAGCTCTCTTTCTACCTCCAGGTGAGTAGAATGACTGCTTATTGTTAATATGTGTTTTTCTTTTTCAAATGACTCATTGCTCTACAAATTTATCTGGAATGTGCCTAATATATATTCCCAACTTTCTTTTCTCAGAGAAATGTTTATTTTGGATCAGAACAAGCACATGATAATATTTCTAAGTGAAGTTTTACATTGTCTAATCATGACTACATATAAAATTTATAATGGAGTTCCTGAACCACTGGATTTCAATAGTTTGGACTTGTGTTAAATTCATTTGCATCAAACTCTGGCTAATGTAGTATTCACTTCTTGATTTCATGAAAGCCATATCCCAGCTCTTTGTAGGCACTCTCTCATCAGTTTTGATATATCTTCATAGATTTTCTGGATCTCACTTGTGTATCTTTTACTGTTGAAGAATTTCTAGTTCAATTTTTATGCCTTTCTTTAAGATATAGAAATGAATCCCATAATACTTTTCTGTGGAGATTAGCACGTTATTGATAGTATTTTCCATTAAAACTTTTAGATGTTGTGTTGTATCTCCTATCAATTAGGCCTTGTTCTGGCCCATGTATGAGGCCAAAAATTTGGGCCTGTATTTGAAAATTTATATGTTAAATCTAATTATCTTAATTTGTGCTGTTGCCAAATTTTTATTACATTTTCTTTACTGTCCCTTCACATATGATTCCACTTTTGTATTGTCCTTTTTCAGGAGAGGGCCGTTTCCCTGGAGTCATTGATTTGTTTGGTAGTACTGGTGGACTGCTTGAGTTCCGGGCCAGTCTTCTGGCTAGTCATGGCTTTGCCTCCTTGGCCTTGGCTTATTGGGCCTATGATGACCTCCCTGCCCAACTGGAAACAGTAGATTTAGACTATTTTGAGGAAGCTACCAACTTTCTCCTCAGACATCCTAAGGTAATTTTTGTGTCTAACCTCACTGTACCCCTGATTTTTAACAACCATAATAGTTTACTACATACCCACATTATTCATGTGTTATATTTCTCATCTAGTGTATTTTGTTCAGAAAAGCGTAATGCATAGGAAGTAAGCCTGTATTCCTCTTAATATCAAAAGACATAAGTTTTGCATTCAGACCAAAATGAAATATTTTTCTGGCTTTGTCTAATGTGGGTAAGTGATTTAGAGAAGTTACTGAAATACATTCTCTTATCCTTAGTGCTTTTTATGTTACAAATAAGCTAGTATGGTACTACTTTTTAAGGTCTTGGTGAGTTTTGAAGAGAGTTACACATGAAAAGTGCTTACTTAGTAATGGACAATACTAATCGCTCAATAAAAGTAAGCAAGCAATTATTATTATTATCATTATTATTATCATCATCATCTCCATCTTATCACTGTCCTATACTTGACTGATAGTGTGTATTTCTTTGAGGAGTTGGTATAATTTAGTTAATTAAGACAACTTAAATATAATGCTCTAGTATTTTGCAATCGGCATCTTAAAATATGTGCTTTTCTGTTATATGAGGATTGGTGCTTAATATCACTTGATGATTTTATATCTTTTTCCTCATCAGAATTGAAGTAAAATAAAATCTATGTGGTAAAAAATGTTCTTGTATGCCTCATCAAAATTAAGTAGGATTATAGTAAAATGAGCAGCAATTCCTGATAATATTCTGATATACTAATAATGTTAATGCCTCTCTTTGATACTTGTAATGAAAGTGTTCTTGAAATGTCAGGTAGTCAATGTCATAGTTATGCCAGCCCTTCGTTTGTCTTGGATTAAAAAATGAGAGGTAATGTGAGTCTGCTTTTTTACTTCTTTAGTCTTGTTCTCCTTATACTTACTTGCACGTAAGTTCCTTTTTTATGTAACAATTCCATGTAATTGCTTCATGACCAGCCAGGATTTTTTTCCAACAATCTGTGAGTACTTCCATCCTTGCTTCAGAAAGCCTCTTCTGAAGTATGTTAGACTAGAGATCTTGCAATGCCTTATAGGTCTTATTTTTATCCCATTAATTTTAAGCAATTCAAAAATAAATTGAATTGAAAATTCCTTGATCTCAAATTTAATGGCAGAAATTAAGACAACAGTTATTTTTCCTCCAGGGATCAGAAATAAATTAGAGCTGTGCATTGTAGTGACACTTTGAATCCTAGTACTGGGGAGAGTAAGGAGGAGAATCATTGTAAGTGGGAGGCCACCTGGGCTACATTAAGTACATAAGTGCATAGTGGGACTCTGTCTCAAAAACAGTTAGATAAAGTCTGCTCATATTTGAGCTACTCATTTGATTTTGTCCATTTAAGTTATACATGTTTTATTTTATTTTCTTTGTCTTGGTACATCGAGTTTCTGTGTTTTCTTGAAATTACTGTATCTTTTATATTAAGACAGAATTTTGAGGCAGGAATGGAATTGGAAAGGGGAGATAGATGTTAGTCAAAGAAAACAAATTTCCAGTGAATCAGGGAGAATAATTTCTTTTGGTCTATCATATTACATCTTGACTATGGTTAATAATATATTGTGTAAATCAAAACTTCAGAAAGAATAGATTTCAAATTATCACAAAGAAAAGTATGTTAGTGAAGTGATAAAATACACTTACCAGCCTGATTTGCTTACTCCAAAATATATACTCATAAATATATTCCAAAATGTATATACACAAACATATCATACCTTAAAAATATATATACATATGTAATTTTCTTTATCCATTCTACAGTTGATATACATGTAGATTGCTTCCAAGATTTAGCTATTATGAACTGTGCACTCATGATGTCTTTAACTCTTTAATAATATGGATTGAGCCTTTAATGAAAATGAATTTGGGGAGTGAGTGAGACGACCTGGGGGCCACGGGATCCTGAACAGACCCAGAGCGGAGGCCCGGAGAACCCAGAGCGCAGGCCCGGCCAGTGAGTGAGACTACCCGGCCGTGGGATCCTGAACAGACCCAGAGCGCAGGCCCCGAGAATGAGTGAGACCACAGAGGCCGAGGGATCCTGAACAGAGCCAGAGCGCAGGCCCGGGGAGTGAGTGAGACGACCCAGGCCGCGGAATCCTGAATCGACCCAGAACGCAGGCCCAGCGAGTGAGTGAGATGACCGGGGACGCGGGATCCTGAACAGACCCTGAGCGCAGGCCCGGCTGCAGGCCCAGCAGGGAACCCTTCAGCAGAACTCCCTG